TACAAAGCAATTCTCTGATGGAACAGATTTATGAAGTAACAGCTGAAAGGTATGCAGATCACAAGATACATGACAAATGTACTTTATTACACGGATCAGAAATACCATATGTACCAGCAGTTACTGTACAGTGATACACAACACCCAACTAAGTCTATTTAAAGGTTTTGCTGATATTGAAAACTATAAAGACACAATGTGAGAGTGAGAAAGTGTTTCATAAGATAGACAAGTCATCGCTTTAGGAAATTAAATACATTCTGCATATTATAAACTTAATGTATTATAAAACTATGCCATTCTTTAAATTAAAATGTGAAAGACTGTACCCCATTCATTGCTTAAAGCAGATGTTTATAACGTTTTTCCATACTTTAAAGTGGAACTCAGTGGAATGAATACCAGACTTAACAACATTAACAAATTTAAGGAGATTGCAGATTTTGTTATTTGTAACAAAAAGATACTTAAGTCTGCAATCGTGTGATGCCAAAAGACTGTAGAGAGCAAAATAAGCAAAATACATTTCAGACGTGACAACTTTCTGTAAGGCATTTCTTGACTGTAAAGGAACTTGAGCAGCCTTGGATCTAAATTCCAAGTACAGTGTTTGAATCCATTCTGCTACATTGTCTAGCCTTAACTTGACAGTGTAATATATGCCCAAGGCTGCCTGTTCATCTCCCAGCTTGGTTGGAAGGTTCTTCTTTACATTGAATCAGTCTGTCTCAGAAGCTTCCCACAGGAGTCATTAATCCTATACTCTGGCCAGTCTTGCTCATTATTCAACAGTTGCTTGACTTTGAGCATGTTTATTTACCTCTGCAAAGCTGTTTCCTCATCTCAAAATACGAATAATGAAAGTATCAATCATAATCATCGTTTTAAGGATTAGGTGAAAGAATATAGGTAAAGCATTTAACACAGTAAGCACTCACTGTAGGTTGTTATTAGTACTGTTATTCTATTTATATGAATCTTATTTGATATCACAAATAAGCCCTGTAGCTTATTTGGTGCAGAAGACCTGAAGCATATGACTGTATAACTTGGTTTTTTTTTTTTAAGATTTATTTATGCATACAAGAACTGGGGTACAGACCAGAGGTGTGGGGGGTGAGAGGATTCACCAGAGACAGAGTGGGGAACAGAACAGGCAGATCCACTGAAGTATACTGCTGAGGGGAGCAGCGGGCGAGTCAGGAGAGGTCTGATGTGCCATGTGGGTATCTCCCTGCCCGGGGATTGAACTTGTGCTGCAGTGGCTGCGGATAGCTTCACAGATTATGTCTTAGCCCCTTGCGCCACCTGGAAGGGCAAACTTGGGGGGTTTTACAAGAAGGCACCAATCTCGACCTGTCCCTCCTGGGTCTGTGAGGCCCTGGGAATAGCAGTGGCCTTGACCTGGCATGACTACTTAATAGCCCCCTAATCCCCAACACTCCTGTACAGTCAGTCTGTGTCTGGTGCAATGGAATTTTTTATATGCTGGCAAATACAGGGGACAATATATTTTAAGCCTAACATGAATTTTTTAAATTATTTTATTTTATATAATTTTCACATTTTTCATTTTTGCACAATGTATGCATTTTCATTTTGGTTATATTCCCCATACAATTCCACCCCCCTTATTTTGACCCTAATCCCGCCTCTCCTCCCCCCCTCCCCATAGTGTGTCTCTGGTTTATAGTTGCTTGTTGATTTTGACTTTTACTTTATTATAATTGGTCTTTTTCCTGGTCCCTTATTTAGGTTTTCTAAATTCCTGCTATGAGTGAGACCATCCAGTATTTTTCTTTTTCTTTCTGGCTTGTTTCGCTGAGCATGATCTCTTCCAGCTCCATCCATGTTGCTGCAAATTGCATGAGCTTATCTTTTGATTGCTGAGTAATATTCCATTATATATATATATATATATATATATATATATATATATATATATATAACATCTTCTTGATCCAGGCATCTATTTTTGGGCATTTTTGTTTCCATAGCTTACCTATTATAAATAGTGCTGCTATAAACATAGGGGTGCAGGTGCCCTTTTGAATTAATGTTTCTGTGTCCTTTGGGTAAATACCTAGGAGTGGAATTGCTAGATCATATGGAAGCTCTATCTTTTTTTTTTGGGGGGGGGGGGTAAGATTTATTTATTTATTTATACAAGCTCTGGGTACAGTTGGAAGCGTGGGAGGGTGAGAGAATTCACCAGAGCCAGAGCGGGGAGCAGAGCAGGCAGAAGGACCCAAGTACAATGCTGAGGGGAGCAGCGGGCGGCAGGAGAGGTCTGCGCGCCATGTGGGACCCTCCTCCGGTGGCCAGGGAGCAGCCAGGGGTCGAACCAGCGCTGCAGAGGCTGCGGGCAGCTTCGCAACCCAGTGCTCAACCGCTGCGCCACCGGGAAGGCCTGGAAGCTCTATCTTTAGTAGGTTGAAGAATCGCCTAGCATGAATTTGAATCTTTCTACTAGGTGGCATCAGAAGTTAGTCAGTTAGCTTACTCAAGAGCCAGAAATATGCATCTCAATTGTATTCAATAGTATTTATAAATTAAGGAATTCCTTGAGGTCTCTTTAGACTCCTCTCATTTATCACTAGCACTTAACTAGTTTAAACTAGACACCCTGATCCCTCACCATCACCACCAGTCAGGTTCAGATACATAAATCATCATTATAGTCAGTTCGTTTTTCTCCTTCAACTCCAAAAAGTTAGAATCCAATACATAGATCCAAATTTTAAAAACATCCAATTTCCTAATAAGCAAATATATTCTGCAGTGTATTTATTCTAGGCAGCATATGACTTAATGGGGGTCTAGGGATAGAAACACATTAGTGTGGTATTAGAAAAGAGATGTGGTCAAAACTACTATTTGATTCCACCTAAGAACTTCAACTACAGCTCACATTTCTTCTGACCAGTGGTTTATGCCTACTGATGTTGGGCTCCACCTTTAGGATTGCTTCTACCCACATTAAGAGAGTACACCTAAGGAAATGCAGTTTGGATTAGACCCAGGTATTGGAGAAAGGTTCAGTAAATCAGTTCTCTACTGAACCCTGCTCTTTATCTGATCCAGAGCCTACATTCTAGATTGAACCCAAAATAGGTATTCTATCTAAAACTACCTTTCTCTCCTAGCAAGAGTTTGCACATCCGGGGCCTCCCTGGTGGCGCAAGGGATTAAGAAGCAGGCTGTGAAGCTGTCCACAGCCAATGCAGCACGAGTTCGATCCCCTGTCAGCCAGAAAGCAACCCACATGGCACAGCAGAACTCTCCTGACTCACCTGCTGCTCCCCCAAGCAGTGTATTTCAGTCGATCTGCCTGTCCTGTTCCCCACCCTGTCTCTGGTGAATCCTCTCACCCCCCTCACCTGTGGCCTGTAACCCTGCTCTTGTATGCATAAATAAATAGTTTGCACGTCCTTAAAGAAGAATGGCATTGTAAGAGGTATAGGATCTAGAGACTAAGTGCCTGAATTTGAACCCTAGCTCTCCTGAATTTAGCCCTGTGGGCTGTGTGCTTTAGTTCCTCAATGTGTAAAGAGATAATATTTGTATCAAACTCATAAGATTGCTGGGAGCATTAAATGAGTTAATCCTTCAACTGAAGAGTTTGGGATTTAATAATTTAGACCAAAGCTTGAAATTCAAAGCAACCAATAAATGAAATGAAATTTATAATTGCTCTTAAACAACATTTTAGTTTTTAATGTAATTTCATAAAAAACAAAAATAAAATATTACATTGAATTCCTACTGTTATTTACCCAATCTAATTCCAAAAAGGATTTGGTGCTTAGCTTGGGCTCCATCTGGTGGCTTTACAGCAGTTCTTTGGAAAACATTAGAGTTAAATTAAAAAAAGAGGAATTTTGAAGAGTTAATCATTTAAAAGATCAAAGGACAGTGTTATACTTATCAATTTATAATCTTCAGGAATGAAGCAACAAAGAAGTAAGCACACCACTGTGCTAACTTTGAAATGGCAGTCTAAATTTCTCAAGAGGTAGGAAGACTTGCTGGCAGTGCAGTTCATGAACTCACTGCTTTAGAGCACCCATCAACAATCTTGTGCAAGACAATTTCTCTTAATAACCAAGCACCTTCCAGAGGCCATGATACCAAAGAATATGCTTCTCACATGTTGACAGTGTTGTTTTGACTTTAACTTTTAAGTTAAATCTTGACAGTCATAACTGAATAGCCAGCCTAACATCAACAGGTCCTGGATGAAAACCCAAAGCTACCACCACTGGAGTCAAATTTTCATTTAAGGTTATAAGGCATAGAAAACATGACCATATCTCTGGCATTGGCTTCTTGTTTCCTCTTAAAGAAAATGAAGCCAAAATATACCCGACGTACTCCCTGGTGGCATAAGGGGTTAAGCACTGCACTATGAAGCAATCTGCAGCTTCTGCAGCACAAGTTCGATCCCCAGCCAGCCAGGGAGAAACCACATGGTGAAGCAGACCTCTCCCGTCTCGCCCTCTGCTCCCCTCAGCAGTGTATTTCACTGTCTGCCTATTCTGTACCCCACTCTGTCTCTGGTGGGTCCTCTCACCCCCACATCTCTGACCTATACTCTAGCTCTTGTATGCATAAATAAATAAATCTTTAAAAAATAATAATACCTGACAAGGCTGCAAAAACCTAAGTGCTAAGTGTTCAACATCATCAATGCAGACAATTCTTATGATGGGGGTAAAGAATGAAAATAATTTTTTTTTTTTAATAGAGGCATGCTTTATTTATTTGTTTGCTGGTTTGTTTGTTTGTTTTGTTTATACATGCACTGGGTACAGTCAGAAGCGCGGGAGGGTGAGAGAATTCACCAGAGTCAGAGCGGGGAGCAGAGCAGGCAGAAGGACCGAAGTACACTGCTGAGGGGAGCAGCGGGCGGCAGGAGAGGTCTGCGTGCCATGTGGGACCCTCCTCTGGTGGCCGGGGAGCAGCCGGGGATCGAACCGGCGCCGCAGAGGCCGCGGGCAGCTTCGCAACCCAGCGCTCAACCGCTGCGCCACCGGGGAGGCCCAAGAATGAAAATAATTTAGCTGATATATTTAGGCTGATTTTTTCAGTGGTTTAATTGGATGTTTTCAACTTTTTATTTCATGAATGAACACTAACGTTTCTACCTTTCCCTCACAAACTCTTTGTTGTTCGTAACTTTACCAAAAGGCCCAGAATAATCATTATTTTTCCAATTCATGTTTTATATTTGCTTGTTTTGAGAAAATTTATTTCAAGTATTTAATAATTATTTACTAACTTTTTGGTGACCTAACCATCGGGTAAGTGAGGAAAGTCTTATTATGCAAAATAACTTTAGATTTTATTGGTGTCAAATTTTATACTCAAATCTAAAAAATTTGGGTTTTAACTTATTTATATGTTGTATTCCAGCCAAGCAGTGTGCCAAGACAAAAATAGTGAGCGGATAACTACGTGACCTTATTCTAAAAGATCTCACTCTTAACTGTATTCTCCTGATTACAGATGCCTGTGTGGGTAGACTAGAAAAGTTCCTGGAACACAGTAGGCATTCAAAGATTTGTTGCTCCAGGGAAATGTAATGATGGCCAACAGGACTACAGTGAAATTTCAGAAGGAATGCTAAGTTTAAATAGCTTAACTAAAGATAAATTTAGTTACAAGTGAAATTAAAGTTAGTAAACTATAGCAGGACAGACTTAATAAAATAATTTCAACAACAGCACTTGCAACATCCTCAAATACTACTTTCAAAGAGTTAAACAGGTTTCTTTACAGCTAGATCTGTTAGACTATAAGCTAATACTTTTTGTGAAGCTTCAAGTACAGACAATTCCCAAATTCATGTGACAATGAAATCTATACATGCATTGGGGGAAAAACAGTTCTTAGCAAAATATACTAGGAAATGTTGTACTTTAGTAAATTAAAATAATAACTGATGTAACAGCAGACAGTTCCTAGGAAGGTCTACTAAAAATGGAGCACATAGACTTGTATATGTTTTTAGGTACATTTTACCTAAAAACTTAAAATGTTTTAAAAAATTGAAGAATCTGGGGCCTCCCTGGTGGTGCAAGGGGTTAAGACGCAACTGATGAATCTATCCGCAGCCACTGTAGCACATGTTCGATCCTTGGCCAGCAAGGGAGCTGACCCACATGGCCCAGCAGACCTCTCCTGACTCGCCCACTGCTCCCCTGAGCAGTGTATTTCAGTCGATCTGCCTGTTCTGTTCCCCACTCTGTTCTGGTGAATCCTCTCACCCTCTACACCTCTTACCTGTACCCCAGTTCTTGTAAGCATAAATATATAAATCTTTTAAAAAAAAAATTAAAGAATCTAGTCTTCTCTACTGTTGGAAACCCAAGAAGATATGAAAGATCTTCAACATCTACACACAAAATTCTTTGAGTCTGAATTACACAAAATGAGCACTCTGAACAAGTACCGCTATAAGATCCAATGACATGCTTTAAAAAGACATTATACAATCATTTTTTAAATCTGAGTTCGCTCAAATTCATCATATATCATTTGCTTAATCTTCACTAAGAACAAACACCTATAATCATCATGATTTCTGATAATCCCTGCATAAAAACAGCAGCTGATTAAAACATCAATATAACTTTCATTCTTCAAAGAAAATATTTTATTCAAATTCCAAAACAAACTTGAGGTCTGAATTGAAGAAAAAGACCAAATTAAAATACAAAGTTTTCATTTGGTGGAAGCTGGAATCAACATACATACTCTTATCAAAGATCAATCCCAAGAGGCCTTTCTCCAGTTTTTAAGAGTCTACCAGGCCAACCCCTTAGCTGCCTTCGCTGCTTTTGCTTTGTTTTTCCCCTTCTTGTTCTGTCGCTTTGCCTTCAGCCTTTTTCTTTGCCTCTGGCTCATCCATATGGGATACTGTCCATGCTGGTCTAGAAGACTCTTTTTGTTTCTCTTAATTTCAGTCTCCATTTTCATGTCATCTGAATTAAAAATGGATAAACCATTAATACACAGGAATGAAAAAATAGCCCTATGAAAAAAAAGTATTACTACAATGAGGACATCAGAATTGAAAGAAGTCTAAAACCATAAAGGAAAAAAATAATCCTTTATTAGTGGAATGCTTTGACGAATATTCTGAAAACTCCTTATGGCACATTCAGTGGGCTTATGTACATGCCACCATGTGTTCCTACGACCATGAAAAACATAAAAAGTGTGAGGAATGAGACATCATCTATTTAGTCAGAAACACTGTAAAGAATGTTGTCATGATTATCTTTCTTTGGAATAGTACAAGTTAAAGACGCTATGGAGGATGTGTGACTTAAATTACTGCAGTAAGAAGAGCATGACTCTCAGCAGAAGTGAATTTTAAGAACATTTCTCAGAATAAGAATTTCCTTAAGAAAGATAGTTATGTCAGTAAGATGTGTACCCAGACTTATATGGTCAGGTTTTTAAAAAATATTAAATAATATTATATACATGATGATATATACTATAAGTGATATTTAAAAATAAATGTTAAAATGATTGGTAACTTCTAATCAAATGAAATGGGAAGAAGTGGAGTAGTAAGCCTCAAGCTTGTGACAACAGAGGCAGGCAGATGACAAAGGAGGACCTGGCTATATCCTGGCACTGACACGCTTTTCTACCCAGTAACACCGACAGATCCAGCTCCACTAATAGGACACTTGGCAGGAATCTCGGTGCAGCCATGGGTTGAGACATCTATCATTAACCTTATCTGTTGTGAAGGACACACTCATTAAGTCCCTCCCTGGGCACACTAGGGATCCATGATCTCTACCAGCTGACATTACAGGAATTAATTTATCTGGTTTATTTTCTGTCTCTTCTAACACAATGTCACTCCCATCAGGATAAAGACCATACCTCTGATATTCACCACTGTTTCCACAGTACCTAGTATAGTGCCTCGTCTCTCTCAGCACGTCAGTACTAGTTGTTGAGTGATTATTTTAGGTACTGTTCTAGAGTCTGAGAACACAGTGTTCCAAATAAGCTCCTCATTCTCGTGAGGAAGGAAGCAAACTTCAGCCTGTGGTAAAGTAGCATTTTTAAGAGCTAGATTAAGATTTAAGAACCAGATGAAGTAGACTTGGTAGTTCTGGTAAGCACCTGGAATGACAAGCACAGCAATGGCAAAATCTGATTTTCATTCTTAAAGGATCTTTTTTTTTTTTTTTAAGATTATTTATTTATTTATACAAGCATTGGGTACAGTCAGAAGCGCGGGAGGGTGAGAGAATTCACCCAAGCCAGAGCGGGGAACAGAACAGGCAGACCGACGAAATACCCTGCCGAGGGGATCAGCGGGCGGCAGGAGAGGTCCGCACGCCATGTGGGACCCTTGCCCGGTGACCAGGGATCGAACCGGCACTGCAGAGGTTGCAGGCAGCTTCGCAACCTAGCGCTCAACTGCTGCGCCACCGGGGAGGCCCAAAGGATCATATTTGTTGATAAGTAAAAAGTGAATGAGAAGGAAGCAAGCGCTGGAGAGCAAAAAAGCTATCGTGGTTCAAGCAAGAGATACTGGTCATCTGAAGTGGAAGCATGAAGGCAGGAGAAAAATGGAGCATGGCCTGATGCATTTTAGAGGTGCTCAAGATACGTTAATGGTTTAGATACAAAAGATAAAGGAAAAGGGATCAAGGGTAATTGCTTCCACTATCCAAGTCTATAAAAATGTTGAATATCTCAAATAACTTCTTAAATGTTTTATTAATGGTGAAAAACAATGATTTTATCAGTTCTCACCAATAACATACAAAGTGGAAAGCACTGAATTATTTTTTATAAAAGTGAAGCACAAAAACCCACCTTTTTCATCTTTCACACACTGGGCTGTCTCTTGGCAATGTTTGGGTACCACCACAGTTGCTATCTCTTGCACATCTTTCATTAAGATATCAGTATCTGCTTTAAGTATACTTTTTAGTCTGCTGAGCTCCTTTGGGGCATTCTTTTTTCTCTTTTCTGCACGCATCTTCCTTTTCCACTTACTCCTTAAGCTTTTAGCCATATTTACCTAGAAAGTTAAACAAAAGTTGAAATTCAAATTCAAATAGTTACTATAAAAACACAAAGGTGGGCCTCCCTGGTGGCACAAAGGGTTAAGTACTGCACTGTGGGGCAATTTGCAGCCTCTGCAGCACCAGTTCCATCCCAGGCTGGCCAGGGAGCGGCAGCCAGCATGGCACAGCAGCCCTCTCCTGTTTCGCCCGCAGCTCCCCTCAGCAGTGTATTTTGGTTGGTCTGCCTGTTCTGTTACTCACTCTGTCTCTGGTGAATCCTCTCACCCTCCGTATCTCTGGCCCGTGCCCCAGCTCTTGTATGCATAAATAATAAATAAATCTCAAAGTATCTCTACAGGAGAGGAAGGTGAAACTTCTCACTTTGTTCCTGGTGTATGATGCTATACCGTGCAACTTATGGGGGATAGGCAGGGCACATACAGTCATTAAATAGCAAGGACACAAAATCAAACTCCGAGTAGGCACTGGTAAACTGTAAGTCAAGTCATTTTCTGAAAGCTCCTGAAGTTTCCATACAAGATACAGAAATTTCATTTCCCCCAAATACAAAGAAAATCACCTTACATTTACACAATGCACAAATATTATTATGTCTCTTTTAAGTGAATCTTGATTTCTTTCCAATCTACAGAACATGGCATTCCTCATTATCCACCCTCCAAGTGAATCTGTCTATTTTAAACTTGTTTATTTCCATTCTTGCTTTCTTTTGACACCTTAGCTTCAGTCCTAAATCCTCTATAAGGTAGTTAGAGTGACCTTTCCAAACTTCAGAGAATACCAATCTCAGAGCTTTCTTCGAATCCTTTAGTGACTATGCACCTGATGTAATTAAACTCAACAAGGTTGTGATCTGGCCCCTGCGTCTTTAAACTTCACGCTCCACCCCACCTACAAGTACCAAATACATCTAAAAAATGAAAACCCAGGAATACTATGGGGATGTATGGAGGGATGAGAAGAGATTATAAATAGCTTGAGAGGGAAATTTTGGGGAGTAGTTTACAACAGCATCTTGATTGTGCTGATGGATTTATGCTTGTACAATCATGATATATGACACCTAAATATGTTGCTTATTGCGTTAAGTATATTAAAGGTAGTTATAACATGTGATTTTAATAAAGATCCAAACTGTAACCACCTTTACATGTGTTGTTCCTATGTCTAAAAAGCGATCCCACGGCTTGCTCCTCAATTCTATACTCCAAAAAGGTTTCTCTCACCACAACTGCTCCTCCTTTAACTCTCTCAAACCGTACCTCGCTCTCCTTTTTAATGTGTTAAAGTCTGAGATTATTTACATTTTCTGTCATCGCCAATAAACTGGGCTCCACCAAGGCGGGAGTTTCAATAGGGTGTGTTCAGTTAGATCCCCTAATGCATAGCGCATTGTACACAGTAAAGGTTGAGAAAGTATTTGCTGGGTGGTTGATTAGTGGTGTAACACTTTGGACCCCAGCAATTACAAACTGTTCCCTTGTCTACACCAACCAACCTCCGTGAGGGGTGGGGATAAATTGCCGTGGTAAGCAGCCTCGAGGGCCGAGGTTACCCTCAGCCGGAGTGAACTAACTCCCTGGGCACAGAGCTCGGGGAAGCCGGAGGGCAGTCAGCAAGCCCACGACAGGTCCTTGACCCTGAGGAAGGCCTAGGTCTCTAGGCCGCGCTCGGGCTTCTCCAGAAAGGGACGAGGCTTGAGCGGACAACCTCTAGGGGCGGTGGAATGGAGTCTTAAGTCCCAAGCCCGGGCGGCACCGACTCACCTGACAGAGCTCACGAACGCAGAACACACGCCACTCACGCGGACCGGAAGCCCCCTCACTTCCGCCTTCCGGCCCCTCCGGCCCGCCCCCCGCGCGGGCGCGCTGCACGCCGGGAGCCGACGCCGGGAAGGCGTGGCCAGGCGGGGTCCGGCGGAGTCCCGGCTGACGCGCTTCCTGCCCTGGGTCGTGGAGCGCGAGTCTTGGCCGGTGGGTCCTGCCCGACAGGTGCGGAAGTCGGGTTCGGGGAATGCGGAAGGGAATGGGGTCAGGTTCCCGCTCCGGCTGGGCCTGCCCGGCGAGCGTGGGCGGGGAAGCCGCGCGACTCGAACCAGCCTAGCGGCGAGGCGCGCCTGGGACGGACACGTGGGGAGCTCGGGCGGTCTCAGTTACTACACTGGTCATGGTTTCCTTGAGCCCCAACATTCCAGGTGGAGTGTCCTTCCGGAGGCCGAATTGAGATTATCCTTATTAACGGTCCTTAAATTCCCCGAGCGCAGGTGGGTCATGGTCTCCCGGAATTAGGCAGTACACGTCAGAACGTATCCAATTGGACTTTAATACGTCTTGTTTATTATGTGTTCTACCTCAAAGCTGGTACCAAAAAAAAAAAAATCCTTCCCCATCTCAAAGACAAAAGGGTAAAGTGACCAAACTAGGTTCCAACCATGTCTGTGTTGTATTAATTAATGTGTCCCACAGTCTGAATTTCCTTGTCCATAGAATGAAGCTAATAAAACTTAATTGATTATAGATAATACATTCGACAAATGGGAGCTCTTATTTTTACATTGTAATTTCGAACATGCACAGTACTATTCTTAAGCAGTGTTTTCTAGAGATTTACAACATACCAAAAAAAGAAAAAAACCGGGAAAATGAATTGTTAATAACGACCTAGTAAATTTATTTCTGGTTGTTAGTAAACGAGATTTCTTTCTGAGACATTTTGTGGATCTTTTGTCGCTAAACTTGTACCCTTGAAGAAATCCTGCATTCTAAATTACTAAACTTAGACTACACTGTTTTTTTTTTTTTTTTAACAACAGGAAATCGCTCATAACTTAACATATAAAAAAGCATGCTTGAGAAGTCTGTTTTCTTTAAATAGGTTAGGTTCTTACAGAGTAAGTGAAATTCTGTTTTACCAGATTAACCATATATTAGATCTTAGTTGTCTCTCCAATACAGTTCACCTTGCACTCTAATTTAGAGAAAGCTCGCTTGATAGTCCTAATTGTCAGCATCTTGCTTAAAATAGAAGGTCAAGACTTTTGAATAGACATGTGGTACCAGAAGAGAGAAAAATAACATCAATTATGAAAATATCAATATTAAGTATACCCCCAGTTCAGCATTTCTGATGATTTGAAAAGTCATTATTGAAAACTCCCTTTTTAACACATGGTCCTCACTAGTTTGCATAACGCAGTTCTATTATACAAGAAATAATAAATTGCTTTGGTATATTTAAAAAGCCCTAATTCATATATTTGAGTTTTCACTTTGATAGGTAATATGATGGGAATACAAAGATGAAAGGAACCAAACTAAAGCCTTCAGTATACTTTAAGCCCAGAGGAAGGGCTAAGGCTTACTGGTCAAATTGGGCATTGCTTCTCTCCCACAGAGAGCTGGAAGGAGCTTATGGAACTGGAGACAGCAGGTAGCTCTGAATACCTGATGGGAAGTGGACTGGTTCTCCACCTTAAAGGATGCTACAAGTAAGTTCAGGCCTCTCTCATGGAACCCTTGATCAGTATAGGCCCTTAGTAGATATTAGGAAATATCCTGGGATTCAGATGGTAACCTCATATTGTTGCCCAGGCCCGAAATGACAGACTTTGAGACAGAGCCCTACCAGCAAAAAGAAGCTAAGTTCCCAGCTGCTCCAAAAAAGCCCACAACTGGCTGCTGATACACTCATCCCCAAAAATGCATCAAATTGATCAAAGCAAGATCTGAAGCCTGCAGAAAAGAAATGATGGCAGGGAGGCAGGGCCCGTTGCTCGTTTTTCTCCAAATTACATTCAATAAAAAGTTCTCAGATACTGCTCTTTCCTTGTTTTCCTCCTGCCGCCTCTCTGACTGTACTTTATACATTGCTTGTAAAGTTGCTATCACTCTGTTAATTCCTGTCAACACTTTTTTAATACTTCTGATCTTTGCATATTTGCACCTTTATTTGATATAAAAAATTTAAGTTGCATATCTCCCCTTTCATCTAGCATTTCTGCTTTTAGGTATATCCCCTACCTAGGCATCTTTGTGCACATTGGCACACAGAGACATCCCATAGCAGCACTGATAGTGATGCTAAAAATGAGCAATCTATAAAATTCATTGACAGCACAACATATGAATAACTATAGTTCTCTTACAAAGTATAATACACTATACCAGTGGTTTTCAAAGTTCTTGATCTTATCTATTTACCATTGTTAAAAATTTAAAAATGTCCTATCAGAAATCTTAACTTTTACAAAAATCTGACATTTTAAGATGATTCATTGTCTACATTTTTATTTTTCAAATAAACTATTTCCTAAACCAAAAAATAATTTACTGAAAATCATGGCAGTTTTACTTTTATTAAATGTCAAATCTGATTTTGTTTAAATTTAGACTGACAGTAATAATACTTTTCATCTGACATTAAGCATTAACTTTCTGTATTTCTCATTTAATCCTCTTAACCCAATAAGGTATTATTCCCATCATAAGATAATGCAAAAAACATAAGGAAGATAAATAACTTGCCATTGTCATATTATAATCAACAGTGCATAGTAAGGATTCCAATCTAATAGCCCCCACTCACTATACTTGTTATACTTGAGTAATAACATCATGCAATTGGGTATTCAACAATTGATTATGATGGAATCCAACTGAATCTAAAACTCACCAGTTTTAGATTAATATGTGTTATGGTTTGAGTTGTACCCTTCTAGAATTTATATGATGAAATCCTAATCTGTTTAGACTGTCATAATACTAGAGAATGGGTAGTTTATAAACAATAGAATTGGTTTCCCCTAGCTTTGGAGGCTGAACATACCAAGATTCAGGTGCCAGCAAATTAGGTGTATAATTAAGGCCCACCTGGTTCACAGACTGTCTTTTCACTATAATCTCAGATGGCAGAGGGATAAGGGATTCTGCGAGGTCTCTTTTATAAAAAGCTCTAATCCCATTCATGAACACACCACCATCACAACCTAATAAGCATGTCCCAAAACCCCTGCCTCCTCATATGTCACACTGGGCATTAGATTTCAGCATATAAATTTTGGAGGGACATAAACATTCAGATCACTGCAAAGTCCTAATCACTGGTAGCGCAGAATATAACACATTTTATGTCAAAATATCTGACTTTGAAATATATCTTTAATTTTTAGTAATAAATCATTTTATAACACTACATATAATAGGGTAGAGATAAGAGGTGTAGGGCAGGTAAAGAGGATTCATCAGAGACATAGTGAGGTGCAGAACAGTGCATTTACTGAAATACACTGTTAAGGAGAGGTCTGCTGCTCCGTATGTGTGTTAGCTCCCTAGCAGGGATTGAACTCAGGCCATAGGGGTGATAGCCCTGAGACTTAAACCCTAAGACACCAGGGAGGCCCTGGGGCCTGCTTTCAATCACTTTTTATTGACTGCTTCCAAAAAGCGCAACATGTGCAGGAACAGATTGATGATATCCAAGTAGAGGTTAATGGCAGCTAATACATACTCTTCAGGTGACAGCCTGTGCATCAGTGAGTGTGTGTCATAGATGATAAATCCGCAGAAAAGAAGTGCTCCAACAGCAGCCATAACCAGTTCCATTGTCTCACTATAAAAAAATAACTATAGGCAAGAGATTAAAATAATATTTATAAGAACAGTATTAAGAATACATGTTACTTGTTCTTAAGTAACATACACTACATACACATTTAATAATGCTATACAACTTTGTATTTAAATGTTAAAAGCAGAAACAGGCAAGAGAGGCAGCACTCCTTCTGCCCACCTGTGCCTATGCAGGTGCCTCTTTTTACCAACTCTCTCCCTCTGCAGGGCAGCAATTTCCTGCCTGCCGGTGACCTGTACCTGCCGGGGCTTCTCTTCACTGACCTCCCTCAGGGGAGGCCGCTCTCCTCAAGTTCACCCACCTGTAACCATCTCTCAGCAAACCTGTCCCTTCAGGGCAGCTCTTCCTGTCTGCTTGTGTCTGTGCAAGAGTACTTTACTTTTCTGTCCCTTTTCCTAATAAACCTGCCCTTCAAATATTAAAAAAAAAGAAACAGGCAAGAGAGGTTCGCTCTTGCTTCTGTTGAATGAATTAATGGATAGCTTACTTTCTAATAAATTACTCGACTTTGAACATTAACATTTAAACATTTTTCAGAATACATGTGCCACTTGGAGGATAGCAATTACTTGTGAGGGCCTCTTTCTATGTAATTTAACTCATTTACTCATCTTTCATTCAATAATATTAATGCTTGATTATTTTAAAGACAATAATCATTTTATACACAAATGTTACAGACAATTACAGCTAAGTAACTTATCATAAGAGTACTGCTTATAGCTTTTTATAATTATTTATATTGACATGGCCAGAACTACATTTCAAGTTATCATTCTAAAAGAAAACCTACCCTCAGGATTGCTGACAAGCATAAAATCCATAAAACAGCAAACAGTCTATAAAAAAAAAAAATAGTAATTTAGAATACTCTTCCTTAAAAAACTTTACAAACCCAGTAAACATTTTTACTGAATAAACCCGTCCTCTTATTTACCAAAGAATAAATTGAAATGTAGAAATTTCTGAACATATAACGAATATATTTTTATAGTTTTCTTATGGAACACAAAATATATAAACAGAAATATCATTACAAGTATTTTGATTCAGAGATCTATAAAACTTCTGTAAATATATACAAGAATAAATGGAACATAATTGAATTTTTAAACCAAGTAATAATAGCAGATTGTTCTGTAACCATACATATCCATTAACATCATCCCCAAAGTACTGTCGTTTTTATTCAGAAATGACATAGTGATGGAAGTAACAATTACATTCAAAAATATCTTTGTGTTCAAGGAGAGCTAGAACAGTATTATCAAAAGGAAAGAAGTGGATGATATATTTTTTTCAAAAGATAAAAATTAAACTGAATTTCTGTAGATGAAAAATATAGTATATCAAAAGAAAAATTATCTCGTTGGGACTAAGAGCAGATTAGGCACTGAAGAAGCTAAAGTTATTGAATTTGGGCACTCCATGGTGGCGCAGGGGTTAAAGTCTCAGCTATCAAGCTACTGCCTGCCACTGCAGCATGAATTCGATCCCATCCAGGGAGCTAACCCACATGGTGCAGACCTCTCCTGCGTAGCTTGCTGCTCCCCTCAGCAGTGGATTTCAGTAGCTCTGCCTGTTCTGCTCCCCACTCTATGGTGAATCCTTTCACCCCCAGCACCCCTGGCCTACACCCCAGTTCTCGTCTGCATAAATAAATAAAATAAATCTTTAAAAAATATATAAAGTTACTGAAATAGTGACAAAAACGAACCAAAATGAATCACAGAGGAAAAAACAGATTGGGAAAAAATGAGCAGAGCATCAGTGAACTGTGGGACAAGCTCAGGAAGCCTGACATCAGTAATTGCCATCTCAATGGAGATGAAAATCATAGCCTTGATTATATAACTTACCCTGCTCCAAATTTGCCGAAATCTCTCTTAGATTGTAGAGTATATATAGTCAAACCAAGAAATACTGCGGTAGTCAGTATAAAAGCTTGCAGAACAACATTTACATCATATAAAGTAACTGTAAAATGAAAACACTGATTAAAAATGTATATAAACATAAAAGATTTATTTCCGGTATTTAACATAAAAGTTACTTTAGTTTTTCCTGTACTACTTGCCAATAAAAACAATTATGAAAAGATTTTTCCCTAGTATTGAATATTGATATACAAAATGACCCTGTAATTCAATAAACAGGATCCAAAATACACATTCACACATAAAAGAAGGGATCAAGTAACTATGAAGCTAAAGAAAAGACTACAGAATTATACAGCTAGGTGGTTAGGAGTTGTGGGGATATGGCAGAATGATTCTCATCCACCCCTGTCCTGTCATGATTGCCCATTAAAGCTTAAATTTATCAATAGGGATGATTCTGTTGCTGACTGGGAATTCCTAGACAGTAGCAGCAATTCTAGCAATCACCTGGCTATTGCACCCAGGTAATAAGCCCAAACCAGGAAAACCAGGTAAGAAAACTATTGGAACTGTCTGAGGTTGTCTGCCATTGAACAGTCCTACAGAAAACAGAAACTAACCACTAATTGCTCTGTATCCAAGTGCCTTATCTTGGAGTAAATTATTATAGAGTTTTGACTGTGTAAAAATTTTTCTTCTGTAATTTTAGAATGACCAGCTGGGTTACTATGTTTGTTTTAATGTAACTGTTTAATATTTTAAAACAATGATAAAATTTCACCCAAAACTAAGTAGTTTTTAATTTTTCTGGGATTAAACAAGTTCGTTCTGTTCTAAAATGGTACATTATTGAAATGTCTCTGTACCATTACAGGAGTAAGGAAGGTGCAGAAAAGATAAAAGATGAAATCAATTTTGCTCTGTCAGTCATTTCAGCATAAGATTAAGTGGAAAAAAATTAAAATTTGTGAGGAAAATGATATCCGGTGATTACCCCATTTATGTATTTCTAATCCTAATTAGAATAACATTGAAATAGTAAATTCCTTACAAATATTGGGAGCCAGGAGGGCAGAGATGAACTTGGTAACAATAATAGTAAATAGCATTAATAGATAATAACACTAATAATATAGAAATATTAATAATTCTTTCCATGTTGAGAAATTACAGTACTTTTATTCTCTTACAAACGGAAGAAGTAGAATACCAAGCACTATATAAATTCAGCAAAACTAGCATAAAGGTTAAAATCAACAGCGATAAAATAGGAAGTCCTAAATATATTAAACATGAGAATTTATTATAATTGAGAGTAATATTTAATCCTGACCTTTCTGTACCCAAGGTTAATCATTTTGAGAATATCTCAGTTTTTATTCATCATAAATTTTTTACTTGAGGCATTGCATAGAAACACTTCCTTTCAAATACAAACCAGAAATTATCTTTGTTTCTTGTAGTCCATTTGATAAACTATGAAGATATAACAGTAAGGCACAGTTCAAAGCAGGCAACTGGAGAGACTGAACTCATGTAATTAAAAGTACATGGCTCAAAACACTCCCTATAACTCACTCCTACCTAAAATAAAAATCATCAGTTCACCTAAGATTCCTTAAAATTAGGGAAAAGATTAACTGTGGTTGCCTTATTCTGATAAATGGATAAATAATGTTCTCCACTCCTATTGTTTTCCTAATTTTTTCCACTTCCTCTAAGCTAAACTGCATTTTAATTTTTGCTTCTATTTTAGGAATTCATCTATGCCAATTTTTGAAACATGACACGTTTTACTCAAACACCTTTTTACTCAAAAGATTAATCCACATTAAAAATTACTATAATATATAGAAACACAATTCTAGCTTACCAACAAAGGCCACAGACAGAGCTTCCAACAGTGTCTAAGGAAAAGAAATTAAAATTACACATAATATTTATACTGTCTCATGTACAGGTTCTCATTTCTAGGGATTCAATGTGATTCCATATGCATAATCTTATTTTAGTTTCAAAGCAGTCTTGTGACGTATAAGGGACAGATTTTAAGCCCACCATTACGTAAATAAGACTTCAGTGTACTAAGTAAGAATATTTAGTTCTAATTGTGAATCTATCTAGACTAGGTTTTTCATATCTATAATAGGGTGATTATATAAGAAATAATATAGGAAATTCTATTTTTCTCACTCTAGTATAAATAAAAACACTGAAAATCATGCACATTTACAAAAACCTCAATATCTCACACAAACATAGGAAAAATAAAATATTTAGGTAGTACTTTAGTATGATAGTCTTGAAACTGTCATCCAATAAGCAATCTCTTTTTCTTCCCTAGTAACAGGATTTTTCCCCCTGTACACAGTTACTCAGATTAAAATTATAGTTTTTCGGCCTCCTTTGCAAATATGGTCATAGGACCATATTTTAGCCAACAGAATATAAATAGAGAAATATACAACTTCTAAAAGGCAAGAGGTTTGTTCTCCCTTTTCTCTTCTCTTTTTTTTTTTCTTTTTCTTTTTTCAATTACTTCCTGGAAAGTGGATATGGTAGTAAGCTGTCTGATACCATGCAATACCATAGGAATGCTTGAATCATAACAAGCACCTGGACCTCTGACAATGTGACTAAACAGTCATTCAGATTTTATAAGAAATAAAAATAAACTATCCTGTTTAGGCCACTGGGATTTTGTCTCTGTTTAAACCATGTTACAAGTAGTTGAACTCATACCGTAAACAAGATTTAGAAATAGTGAGTTTTGTCCTTTAGCATTTCTTTCTCTTTAACTACATATTTTTATTTTGTTTTATATGCTTACGCTAGTTTGATTTTATCAAGCCATCTGACAGACCATATTATAAAGACAAAAGCAGAAACAGTAGTGGCCATATAATCATGCTCTGGGTAGAAACACTCCCTATAACTCACTCCTACCTAAAATCAAGAAGTCATCAGAACCACGTCAAAAATGGTATTCGAATTTATACAAATGTAGAAGCAATAAAGCCATAGCCACATTTCGTTACATTTTTATGTTATTAGCAGTGTCAGGAAGTGGTAGCAAGATGATAGAAATCATTTTTCTGGGCAACATAATTACACTACATTCTTGATTTTTGTGACATGATTTTAGGTAAGAAATCTTGCCCCATACTCAAGTAATTGAAAGAAAGAGGACAATATAAACAGGCAAAAGATAAGAGTAGGAAAACATACCACCACCCCAAAACAATACCCCATTTAAAATACACACACACACACACACACCCTGCACCTTCTAAGGCCAGGTAAAATTCACCTCCTTTCTTACTGTGTTGGAGCAGGTCAAAATAACCTAGTATCAGAAGTCTCAGTAATGTATTTTACATGCTTCACATGGAATATATAGAGAAACAAAGCAAAGGAAGAAACAAAACAAATCCTTGAAATCTGACTGCAGAACTGAGGGTACAGAAAATCATTATGGGAATAAGGGAGTGAGGCCCCAGTAGACTGCTGAAAGAATGTTGACACATTGGAGGTAGGTATGGTGTGATAACATACATCTGTAGAGGTGTGAACCTATACCCCTAAAACATACAGTGCTGTAAACCACCTTTACCGAAATGAATATAATTTTAAAAAATCTTTGAAAGTGACAAGAGGTTAAAAATTCCAAAAAACTAAAAAGTACAAGTTATTTACTATAATATCCTCATTTTAAAAAACTCCGTAATTTTGTTCTGCCATTGTTATAGATGTATATGCATTCAATTAAATAAATTTAAAACTCAGGAACAAATATTAAAGGAAGAGATATTGTTAAGTACTTACAAATCCAAAAAGCAAGTACAGGTTAAGAGGATGCTTATGTCTGTTTAAAGTCAATGCAAAAATCAAACCCAGAGATCCAAGGGCAAATACCAGAAGTAAGGCAGGACTGAAAGACATAACATTAAAAACATTTTCAAGTTGAAAATTATATAAATGGTATTATCCAATTTAATACAAATTTCTCTTTTATATGTTTGTAGAAGTATAGCGATAAAATCTAGATGGGTTCACACAAAACTTAAATTTGAGGAGACTAAAATGAGGAGTAGCAGGACAAAGAGTCCACAATACATAGGAAAGCATTTTCTTTTTACTGCAGAATTTCTTCCATATTTGAATAATTTCTGCTATTAGCATTCTGCTTTTAGAACTAAAGCACAATAAAGAAAAGTTTTTAAATAAACAAATTTTATACCTAACTACTGTTTTAGGATATTTGCAATATAGTTATAACTTAAATAATTTTACCAAATAGAAAACTACTAGTTCAACGTTCTCTTTTTATAAGGGGAAGGAGGACAAAAATTCTCTACTTTTTAGAAAATATCCCTTCATTCATTTTTTTTCCCTTTCTTTAATATAAAGAATATATATACTACTTTTATCCAGAGAAATAATTATTTTGGAGGTCAGATCTTAAATAAATTAGGAGTGAGTCACAGCTCTCTTGAAAACTTGTCAGTGAAACTGACATGCCATGAGTCAAAACTAAGTTAAATTAAATGTACTTGTATTTAGTATCTTAATCTTTCATGCACTACCTAGGCTTTGGGGCAGGTCAAAAGGTTAATAAAAAGAAATCAATTAAAAATTTTTAAACTTCGGACCTCCTTGCTGGCGCAAGGGGTTAAGACGCAACCTATGAAGCTATCCTCAGCCACTGCAGCATGATTTCGATCCCCGGGCAGGGAGCTACGCGCATGGTGCAGCAGACCTCTCCTGACTCATCTGCTGCTCCTCTGTGCAGTGTACTTCAGTCAATCTGCCTGTTCTGTTCCCCACTCTGTCTCTGGTGAATCCTCTCACACCCCACACCTCTGGCCTGTGCCCCAGCTCTTGTATGCATAAAATAAAATAAATCTTTAAAAAAAATTTTTTTAACTTCATACAGTAAAAATTCTTAGTATTATCCCAGAAGGTGAGGATTTAACTCTTAGCAAAATAATTTAGACGTAAAGATGTTCTATAGCATGTTTCTTATCAAAACAAAAGTAATCTTATTCATAGGTGTTAATAATTAACCTTTTTTATATTCTAACATCAAGAATTAATATAAAAATGAACTTAATTATATGATCTCTTGATCATATGCAGTCGCTTAAAATGATTCAGAATCATCTGATTAACTTACCTTTCACGTACAAATGTCCGCATAGACTCAAAATATAAAAATATTGTAGATGTCACTGTAGTTAAAAGAACTTGAAGAGAAAGGATGCTGTAGACTTTTCTTAGAAAGGCTGAAAGAAAAAATTACACATGACTAAGTATTTATTACAGAACACCAAGAACAAATTTCTTATTAGAAATATTAAATTTTTGCATATATTCTTTCTTAAATCTTTATGCAGGTAATCTAAAATTAAAAATGATTCCTATAAATTCAAAAATTGTAAGTGATAAGTAGACCTCCAAGAAGCATGAACTTAAAAAATTAAGTTAATGGGTGAAAATATAAATGCTTTCATAAAAATAAAAAGGTATTATGTTTCTTTGTACACAGCAGCATACAATAAAGCAAAAGATTAAAAGCAGAACATTTTTAAAGAACAGTTCTATCTTGAAACAAAGTAGGATTAAAAAGCACACAGCTAGATATAAACTTTGAGATACTTTAATTTCCACAACAGAATTATTTCCCCAAAATGAAACATATCTTTAAAAACAAGTATGTAAACTTAATTTCACTCCTCTGTTCTATCACTTATTGTACCTGTCTCTGTTTTCTATAAAGTAATAAATTCTTATGTTCTGAATATTTTATTATTAAGCACCCATATATCATATCTGAGACCTATTGATTAAAAAATACTTATTATTCTGATATACAGATGATATAAATACAGTGGTCTCACCACCAGCTTCAGAACTATAACAGCAGTTCCTACCTCTCTTCCATGTATACTATTGATAACACCCTTCTCCACTATTCCTTCCCTTTAGCTCACTTTTTTTAAATTATTTTTTTTAAGGATTTATTTATACAAGAACTGGGGTACAGGTCAGAGGCGCCGGAGGGTGAGAGAATTCACCAGAGACAGAGCAGGGAGCAGAACAGGCAGACAGACCAAAGACACTGCTGAGGGGAGCAGCAGGCAAGACGAGAGAGGTCTGCCGCACCATGTGGGTATCTCCCTGGCCAGCCAGGAATCGAACCTGCGCTGTAGAGGCTGTGGACAGCTTTGTAGCTCAGCGCTCAACCCGCTGCGCCGGGTGGGGGGCAGGGGGCGCCTTTAGCTCACTGTTAATCATCCTTTAAGATTCAGCCTTTCCGCAGCAGACCTCTGCTGACTCACCCGCTGCTCCCCTCAGCATCATATTTTGGTCTGTCTGCCTGTTCTGTTCCCCACTCTGTCTCTGGTGAATCCTCTTACCCCCACATCTCTGGTCTGTACCCCAGTGCTTGTATGCATAAATAAATACATCTTAACAAAAAAAAGATTCAGCCTTTCTCAGTTTCTCTTTCTGAATTAAATGTTCCTTTTTATGTTCCCAAGGAATCATAATTCTAAATCACTTGATTTGCTAATAAGTCTAGTTGTCCTTCACTTCCATTACACTATAGACTAAAGCTCCCTAATAATAGGAAGCATGCCTTACTCATTGTCATACCCCGAGCACCCAAACAAATGTATGGCAAAGAATAATGTACATTAAATTTTAAAATGATATTGAATTACACGGGGACTATAACTGAGATGAGAAAGTACACATTGTAAAAAAATTAAGAACAATGTAAAAAATATATATATAATAAAATAAAATTATATTGAATTAAAGAAAAATGAATTTTGGTGGGAAGACAGAAGGCATTATTCTGAAATAATAATGGTGTCAATTGAGTAGAGAGAGCACTGTGCTTTTTAGGCAGGCAATTAAAACATTTTTGAATGACTTTTACCCATAAAGGAAGAAGCCCTGTCTCTCACCTCTCACTATACTGCTCATTTGATAAATTTTCTCATTGAAAAAAAATCCTATCAAGACTTGGCTTCTCAAGATAAGAATGAAGTATTCTGATGACATGTCAGCCAAGTACCAACTAATAAACTAAGCATTTTATGAGAATAAGGAAAATTTCATAAATGCTAAAGATTTAATCCTCAAAATTTTAATATTTCCTTCTCGCATAGAGAGTTTTTCCTAATTTCTTAGTTTTTTTAAGTTTTTTTTTAAGATTTATTATATATGCATACAAGAACTGGGGTGTAAGCTAGTGGTGCGGGGGTTGAGAGGATTCACCAGAGTGGGGAGCAAAACAGGCAGATATACTGAAATACACTGCTGAGGGGAGCAACTTGCGAGGCAGGAGAGGGGTCCTGCACCCTGTTGCTTCCTGGCCAGCCTGGATGGAACCCATGCTGCATTGGCTGGTGATAGCTTGATAGCACTGTCTTTAATCCCTGCGCTACCAGGGAGGCCACCTGAACCTTGACATTTTAGATGTATACTATTCCAAAAATATCTTCCAGAATGGTCATATTATAAGCAGCTTGACATGCTTTCAAAAAATTTGGGGGCATTTTTGTTTTAGCTTTTCTCTACTAAATACCAGAGATAGATGAGAACTACTTTTTAATATACATGTAGTCAGTTTAGTTACCAATCCAATTACCAGAGCTCCCAAAGTAAAATGCTCCTGCATAATGTAAATATTTATGAATGAACAAATTATTATTGTGTTTCTGGTATTTCAGTCAACATGTAAATTGATGTGAAACATATGAAAGTTAACCACAATAAGACTAATTCTTTGTAACAGTCTACATATGCAGACAGGTGGAAGGAACATTCATCTATGAATCACAAAACCTGGTTCTGGGCCTCCAGCCTCACTGAAAGAATTATGTTATTTTAGAAAAGTGTTTTGAAACTTAGATTTCTATAAACATATGTATATGTTATTTTAGGAGTTGTAATTACAGGGAAAACAACAATATTGTTATAAATTTTTTTTAGCATTCATATATCCAAACCCAGCACTTGATTGGGATTCTATTCCTACCTATTCACACTTTCACTTCCTTTCCTAAACTCCCTCCAGTTTCTTTAGAAGGGACTCCTCCTAAAGTCCCTTGGCACTTTAGAATTTAATTAATTTGCTATCATCGATTAGTTTAGCTACTGAACAACCAAACTAATGCTTTAAGGAGAGCAACAATGACATCCAAAACTTTTCTTTCCCTACTGAGTTTACAGGCAATAAAAAGGGTTGTTTTTTTTTTAAATTAAGTTTATTTATTAAATGTATGGTAATGATTCAGATGTCTCTTTAATGGCAGTACCCTGACTCAACAATAACTCTCTTATAGATGCCTTCTATTCACATATCTCCTCCACAGAAATTTAATTTCCTGCAGTGTCTGCCATTTTCTGACCTACCCTGAAGCGACTCTCTTTCTTTATCACTTCTGGGATTAGCAGAATTCTCATTCTCCCACTGGTATCTGTGAGACAGCCAGAAATTCTCACCCACTCCCAGTACTTGCAATACCAATTCTTAGTCTACTGTATCACATTGTCACTGTCCACTTTACAGCTGGACTCTAAAGAAAGCCTTACTGGTTTAAAAATTATACACTAAGAGCTGAGTTTTAACACCAGTCCTCCTAATACTCCAACAAAATTGAAGAACACTTTCATCCTCATTCTATGAACCAGCATTATATCAACATCAAAGCCAAAGTCACTGTAAGAAAACAAAACTACAGACCAATATCCTTGATAAATATTGGTGCAAAAATCCCCAACAAAACACTAACAAGGGGCCTCCCTGGTAGCACATGGGGTTAAATATGCCAGCCTACACCCAACTCTTATACGCATAAATAAAATAAATCTTTAAAGAAAAAAAAAAAAAAAAAGCAAAATTCAACAGGAGAGTAAAAACATTATATACCATGAACAAGTGGGATTTATCCTGGAATTTAAGGATGGTTCAACATACCAAAACCAATCAATAAAAATAGTGTGGAAGCAGTTTCCTAGGACTGAGTTCTAAACCTGTGAGATCTGACACTATATCTCCAGATAGTGACAGAACTGTGTTAAATGGATGTAGGACACCCACTGATATGGCAGAGATTTGTTAGGTGTGGGGAAAACCGCACACACATATGGTGATCAGAAGTGTCAGTAGTGAAGTGTTCTGTGTGTGAGTAGGAAAGGAGAAATACAGGTGGTTAAACTGAGGTTTTTCACTAAAATTAAGCAATTCTGCTTTTGGGTGTATAGCCAGAATTGAAAGGAGCGTTCCAAAGATATTTGTGTGCTTATGTGTATAGCAGCATTATTCACAGTGAGGTAGAAGCAACTCAGTGTCCACCAGCAGATGAAAGGATCAATAAAATGTGGTTTATACATGTTATCAGAATATTTTTCAACCTAAAAAATTAGAAAAGAAATTCTGACACATGCTACAATAAAGATGAACCCTGAAAATATGCTAATTGAAATAAGCCAGTCACAAAAAGATAAATACTGTATTATTTCACTTACATGAGGTATCTTAGAGTATCCAGATTCGCCAAAAAAAAAAAGTATATAGCAGGGGCTTGGGGAAGAGAGAAATGGCAAGTTGTTTGATGTACTGGTATGGGGTTTTGGTTTTGCATTATAAAAAGGTTCTGAAGATTGGCTGCACAACAATCAGAACATATGTAACACTATTGAACTGTATGCTTACAATTGTTAACATGGTAACTTTTTAATGTTCTGTATATTTTGTCATAAAATTTTTTTACTTAAAAAAAGGTTCATTTAAAAAATTCATTTCCAGAAAAACAGATGCTAGGGATGAAAAGTCTCAGTGCAACAGATTTTCAAAATTCCCGCTGCACGGATAAGAATGAAAATCTGAGGTAGCTTCTGAGACGACATGGTGAAATAAAACAGACACTGAATTCCACTTACATGTAGCTCGGTAATTTAAATTCAAAATTGCTGCCCACTGGATACGGCCTAAGTTAAAACTAAACGGCATTTTTATTGACCTAGAAAGCTTCCATTTCTAGTAACTGCCTCAGTAACACTCAAACCTATGTTGAGTTGTAAGTCCTAGGGAGAGAAAATAGTGAGCATTCCACATGGTCTCCGCCCTCTCATCCTACAGTGCAGCAAAGGAAAGACAACAGAAACTGAAAACCAGTTCATGCTGAAAGGTTTGGAGGATAACGAAAAGGAGAGCCAGGTTAAATTTCTCAAAGGGGGGGTGGAATTTATTGCGCCCCCGGGCGAAATTCAGGGACCCAAGGTGGGGGTCCGTGATGAAGTCGCGCCAGTTGTGGGGGTGAGATGTCCTTTTATAGGGTGAGGAGAGGTTAGGCAGGAGAACTGGGTTGGCAGGGGGGGAAACAGGTTTAGGCGGAACAAAGTTGTTTTTCTCCTGTTTATGGCTTCAGTTTCGGTTTGCTGTTATCAGTGGTACTGCTGTCACGGGGCCATCTTGTTCTTTTCTATGTGGGCTTCCTCATTCCTGGCCCCTGCGTCGACCTTTCACACGCCCCCCAAAGAATGCACATCCTAATAATTCCATTCAGTTATAAGTCACGATCACGCAATACACTTATTTCCACCAAAAAAAGGTAACTTTCAGTTTCAGTTTCTTCTGAAGCAGTCAAATGAGGCGGCCAAGGTTTTCATCTTTGCCTTTCACCCCAAGAAGACAGGGCTTAAAGTAGGGTGGGCTCTACAAGGGGAGGGTCCAGGTTCCCTGCCCCACCCAAGGGAGGCTGGGGCTGAGCAGGGGGGGAAGCAGCTGGAGAGGCGCCTGGGGAAGGAAGGAAGCGGTTTAGGTCTCAGATCGCACAGGTACGTGAGCCCCTGCAAAGCGGCCAGAGCGCCCCCCAACTCCCGAAGGAGGGCGCCCGTCCTCCGAGTCCGGGGGCTCCCCCGGGACCCCACGGCCCCGCCGGCGCTCGCCCGCCCGCCCGCCGCGGAGGGCGCCTCCCTCGGGCCGGAAACCCGTCCCGGGAGACCGACGGCGCCGCCGGGAAGGCGACGGAGGCCGGGGGCGGAGGGGAAAGGCGGCCTGGCCTACCCATTCGGATGTGCACGCTGGCCGAGGCCACGCAGCTGCCATAGTTGAAGTCGTCCTCGATGGAGGAGCCGCGGTAGCGGGGGTCAGGCTCGCCCATGGCCGCGGAACGCTGCTCCCTCCACCGAGCCGCTGACGGCGACCGCCCCGGCGCGCTTCCGGGTGGGCGGGAGGCGCGGCGCGCCCCGCGGCCCCCGCGGGCGGAGCGAAGCCCCAGCTCGCCCGGGAGCTCGCGTCCAAGCGCCCGCAGGTGGGGAGAAGGCGGGTTCTTGCTCGGCGTCGTCTGAAGTGGAATTTTTCGCAGATTTTCCTCCACAGCTTTTCTCAGTCCTTTCATCTGTAGAGTTGCTAAAGTGAAAAAGTGAAGGCCCATTCATCCATCCATTTAACAAATTCTCATTCGTAAGCCCCTTCATTAGTCACACGAGGAATAAACTTTTAATATTGGTTTTAGCAATAACAACACCTAAATTTATTGAACTCTTTCTATAGCGGGTTTTCTGAAGGAGATAATCCTGGAAGACAACCCGGAAGAGGAGGCAAGCAGGGGAAAGTGGAGTGATGGGGATAGTTCTCAAGGAAGCAACATCTGCAAAGGGTGTGTTGGGGAGGGGAGGAAGCAGAGCTCGGTTGGAGTAGCTTGCAAAATGAGGCTGGCTGTCTAAGCAGTGTCCGCATCACTGTTTGCCAACGGTGGGATACATTGGAGAATGTCATGACCAAAGGCAGGGAAAAGATTGTTCTATTAATGTAAACAAAAAAAAACAAAAAAAAAGAAAAAGAAATGGTGGCCAGTAAATTGGATCGAACTATCCATAGCGGTGTTATCTCAGTGCAAAAATGATGTATAGATATACCCAGAATAATATCCTGGGTCCTTTGCTTTGGAATTTTTTTTTGATGAGTTTACTTTGATCTATCCCGCCCAGTCTGACTTTAACCATAACACTTAAAAGACTCAGTAAATGGAACTCATAATAGATATCTATTCTAAACTAAATCCTTAAGCTTGATGTTACCAGAACCTTTTTTGTTAAAAAGGTCTAATCTCACTTTCATAGACAAGCAAAAGAAAACTTATGGTTTTACAGACATTTTACAAGTACATTTGCTCTTTAACATAAAATCGTCATAACAAAAACCCATCTTTTTATTGACTGAAAACAGCATTAACAAAGTTTGATCTCCTATCTCTTACCAATTACAAAAAATAAATTCCAGATGGATTGTGAATCTAAATGCAGAAGACAAAACAATAAAACTGCAAGAAAATGATATAGAAGAACATCTTTATGATTTGGAGGAAAGAAAAAAATTCTGAAACCAGATACAAAATAACGCTTAACCTCAAAATGATTGGAAAACTGTTAAAATTAAGAGCTTCAAGTTATCAAAATATACTATAAGGGAGTGGAAAATTCAGAGTGTAGTTTTTGCTGCACATATAATCTCCATAATGCTCCTTTCTACAATTTAAAAACATTACAAAATACGGGTAGGGAGCATGAGCCAATAGAAAAATGGGCAGAAGACTGAAACAGCCCTCTCTCTTTCCCCCCATATACATATATGTATACACACATATATGTGTGTACATATACAGGTAGATATATAACTTTCATGCATACACAAGTAGCTAATATATATAGCATATAAAAAGATGCCTGTCATCAATAATGATTAGAGAGAAATGCAAATAAATGCCATATTGAGAAATCTTTACATACTCATCAAATGGCTAAAGTAAGATGTTGACAATACTAAGTGTTGTAGTTTAACAGGAACTCTTAAACTAGAGCTCACTTCATAGGCATGCAACCTGTGCAATTGCAGAGGGCCCTGGAATCAGGAGTGGCTTGCACTTGGTTTAATATCCAGTTGTTGCAATTTTGAAGCTTTTAATAATTTTGCGTTTGAACTGTGCTTTATAAATGAAAGCACAGTGAACCATGAACATGAACAGGAGAGATCACAATATGAGTGTCCACCCTTCCTGGCCAACCTTTTGCATTTAGCATTAAGGGTTAGCCAGTATTAGCCAAGCACTTACACTAAAAACAAAAATATAGACGGAAAGGAAGAGTGCAACATAGCTTCTTTTCAGTCCATCCTTATCAGTAATCTAAAGATAGTGTTGGTAGAATATATCCAAATCAAGAAGTGATATAAGAGTAGTTGGATTAGTTTTATGTAGCTTTTCCACAGTTGTAGTAAGAATGAAATACATATGCATTTACAAGATATGAAATGCAAGTGGTATAATTTTGGTGATTCCACATGAGTTTGCATTTAAAACTGACCTTGCACAATATAAAGATCAATGACAAAATTTGTGCTAATAGGGCCTCACTGATGGCACAAGGGATTAAGCACAGCACTACGAAGCTATCCACAGCCTCTGCAGCATGAATTCAATCCGCAGCCTTCAGGGAGCTGCCCACATAGCTCAGCAGACCTCTCCTGTCTCGCCCGCTGCTCCCCTCAGCAGTGTATTTCAGTTAGTCTGCCTGTTCTGTTCCCCGCTCTGTCTCTGGTGAATCCTCTCACCCCCTGCACCTCTGACCTCTAACCCAGTTCTTGTATGCATAAATAAATAAAACTTTTTTTAAAAAATTGTGCTAATAATAGTAAAGAAATCATGGCAAGTCAAGAAGCATCAAGAGAAATGAAAAATTCATATTTTAGTAATTTGAATAGGACTTTTTCCTGCTTTTTTATAACAATTTTTTTTAAAACTTCTGTGTTTATTATTTATTTATTTATTTTACACAAGCACTGGGTACAGTCAGAAGCGCAGGAGGGTGAGAGAATTCACCAGAGCCAGAGCGGAGAGCAGAGTAGGCAGAAGGATCAAAGTACACTGCTGAGGGGAGCAGCGGGCGGCAGGAGAGGTCTGCGCCCCATGTGGGATCCTCCTCTGGTGGCCGGGGAGCAGCCGGGGATCGAACCGGTGCTGCAGAGGCTGCTGGCAGCTTCTCAACCCAGCGCTCAACTGCTGTGCCACCGGGAAGGCCCTTTTTCCTGCTTTTTTAATAAGAGGTGTCACATTTATATTCATAACTGGGTCCCATATGTTAAGTAACTTGCTCTGCTAGTGGGAGTATAAATGGAGCAACCATGTTTGGAAAGAAGGTAGAGTATACACCCAAGAGACATACTATGAAACAGATAAACATATGAATCCATATGTTTATAAATGACAGCTAAGAATACACATGGGAGCATTATCCATAATAACCAAAAGGTAGAAACAACCCAATTGTCCACTGTTGAGAAAATAGTTAAATTGTCACATGTTTATACAATTGCACATTTTCTATAATGAAAATGAACAAATTTCTACTGTACACAATATAGATGAACCTTGCAGACAATGCACAGCAAAAGAAACAAGATACAAAGAATATATGATATGAGATTCCTTGGAAACTTGAAAAACAAGCAAAATTAATCTGTGGTCTTAGATGACAAGTTATGTTTGGGAAGGAAGAAGAGAATTGGGAGAAGCACTTAAGATTTCTGGGATTCTGCTAATGTTCTGTTTCCCAGGTGATTGCCTATGTTCACTTTGTGATAATGGAGCAAACTGTACTGAAAAGTTTATGTGCTGTTCTATGTCTTATACTTATTTTTTTATTTTTTTAAATATTTATTTATTTATTTATACAAGCACTGGGTACAGTCAGAAGCACGGAAGGATGAGAGAATTTACCAGAGAAAGAGGAGGGAACAGAACAGGCAGACTGACAAAATACACTGCTGAGGGGAGCAACGGGCACGGCAGGAGAGGTCTGCGCGCCATGTGGGACCCTCGCTGGTGGCCAGGGATCAAACTGGCTCTGCAGAGGCTGCGGGCAGCTTCACAGCCCAGCGCTCAACCACTGTGCCACCAGGGGAGCGCCCTGCCCTTAATTTATTTATTTTTAAAAGGTAAAAATGCTACGTGCTCCTTCTCACTTTAGAAAAGAAAGTTATGACAATAAAGTATTTACTTACAAATAAGAAATTCAATAACTCAGTATCTTATTGTTCCTCTACTTCTTTAAAGCTACAATTTCAAGGAAAGTGCTTTATAAACAAAGTCACTAATCTAAAAGGAATTTTAGGGGTTTTAAACACCTGTTTTCATCCTTGCTCTTCCTTCTAACCATCTTTTTCTCTTTCCCCTCTTTTTTACCTAATATGTTTGTTTTACCAACTGCAGGCTAAGCTCTCTTCTTGCTTATTCTCAGACTATGATAATTCTATCCTTATTCCTGGACAAACTAGAGAACACATAATTTTTTGTGGCTTTAGACAATAAGCTACACTTAACATATTAATAGAAGGAAGTGGTGAGTACATTACTACTATATACTTTTTAAATTTATAGAGTTTTATCTATAAGCAGGGGCAGCAGGGGCTTATAAATCTCATTGATCATAGAAAAATATCATGGGCTTTTAGAGCTAAATAAATGAATCTGAATCACTCTAGTTTTCAAACATATCTCTAAGCCGAGGTTTTTATCTACTTTAAAAGAAGAAACAGAACACCTAAACTGGGGGGGGGGTATTAAATGAGACAATATATGTAAAGCGATTAGTTCTGTGATAGTGCTCTACTCTCTTCCTCACTGAACCTATGATAACTAGGATTTTAAAATAATTGAGGACTAGAGAGACTATTAGAAGGGAGGGAGGAAAAGAAAGAGATGAGAATGGTCCAAAGTCAGAATGAACACAACCACCATGAAATAGAGTTTAGAAAGCTGTGAGTGGTACAAGTTTATTATATAATGGAAAGCCACTAAAGATTCTTGAAGAAGTAATGTGATGCAAACTGTGTAGAGTGGGAGAGGGCTGGGATAGAGAGGCAGCATAGTTTTGAGGTTAGGTTAGTCTATAAAACTATACCCGCTTCACAGAGTCTTCCCTTGATAATATATGTATGGAATAATAGAAAATGTATTTGACCGTTGCCTCCCGCTAATGGCACAGAGCTTCAAAAACCTTTGGAATTTCTGGGATGATAGGAGTATTTTTTGTTATTTATAATAAACCCCTTTCTGCCATGTTTGAATATATACTAATTCATGAGTTGATTTATGGTAGACCCTGAGATAGTTACAGGGAAGCTGCTGGTTATACCAGAAAAACCAAGCACGTCATTAGAGGTTGAAACTTTCAGCCACACTCTCCTACAGAAGGAATTCAATCAAATGGCCAATGGCTTAATCAGTCTGCTTATGTAACAAAACCCCAGATAAACTCCTTGAAAGACTGAGGCTCTGAAGCTTCCTGGTTGGTGAACACATCAGGTTTGTGCATGTGGAGAGAGCACAGGAGCTTAGGGCTTTTCTAGACTTGCCATCTTATCTATTCATCCTGTCAGTCATTTGTGTCCTTTATAATAAAACAGTTATCATAAGGACACACATTTGTGAGTTCTGTGAGTCATTATGACCAATTACAGGTACCCCCTCCCCATTCCAAGATAGAACATTCCTATGAAACCTTTCAAGCCAACGTGGCATAAGGCACAATAGCCAAGACCACTAATTTTTATGGAAAAAAGTTTAGGGACCCCAGACCCAACAAATAACCTACCAAAATCATATCAAATAACACATAAAACCTAAAACAACACCATTGTATGGTAAAGCAGGAATATGATAAATACCTAGCCTGTATAAAGTAGTTCCTGGGAAAGAGCTTGGCTGTACCACTTGCTGTTTAGGGTACAGACTGTCTCTAGAATGACTGCTGTGAAACAAAAGCTGAATGTAATTTTTGCTTTTTGACATTTGTCAGAAAAGGGAAAATTCTCTTAGGATTTCTTTCAGTTAGTGAAAACAGGTACTTTTGTACTTTCATAAAAAGGAAGTGGTTAAATGCATATTTTCAAAAAGTGGAAAATACTTGTATCAAATTTGAATCAGTGGTTGTAAGAATACCCAGATTTGTAATTGGGCAGGCCAAAGTACAAGTAGTTTAGGGATACCCAAGACTCGCAGCTGACATCTGAAATCAGAACAGTCTTATGGAACTGAGCCCTTAATTTTTGGAGTTTGGGCTAACTCTAGGGGTTTATAAATCCTAATAAATTCTAGTATTAGAATTGCGTTGAATGCAGGACACCCAAATTGGTGTCACAGCGTTGTTGTCAGATTATTGTTGGGAAGAGTGACAGAGGACCAGGAGAAGGAATTGAGGTGGGGGAGTGCAGGGGATGATAGCAGCACTGAAGGAGAGTGATAGAACCTCAGGATACAAAATGTAACACTTAAAGACAGTTTTAGGGAGATAGGGAGGTAGCATGGTCTTCTAACTATGGATACTAACTGTCATCATTGAAAATACAAGAGACTCCATATGAGCTATTTATTTCACATAATGTGGCTTTCATATAATAAGCTTTCACACAAAAAGCAACCTGGCTTGCTCTTCTGTAAAGCAGATGATCTGCCAAAGAAGACCTTGCTGGTGGCTTCATTCATCCATAGTGATTTCCAGGCCCCTCTGTGTATTGGAGTTTGACTCTCCAGTTCTAGTAATTCAATAACTACCAAATGCTTATGTTATCTTGCCTCTGTTGCTCACCCTATTCAGGTAGTCTTTTTAAGAAGTGGAGGGCTTCTTAAGCATAGAAAGGATGACAGTAAAATTTTAGTCATTTGAACAAAGGGCCGCTGAAACTCCTGCCCAAATAATACTGGCTTTACCGATTTGCAAGCTTACTGTGTGGAATACTTAGTTCAGAACGACTTGGAAATTCAGGTTCCATCACTGTCGGTCTCCAGGGGGCGCCATTCCCAAAGACTACACATCTGAAAGATTGCAACTAGGTGCCGATTTTTTTCAGTTGACGGCCGTGGTCCACTCTTCCAGTCATTAAGGCTGGGATTTCTTCTCACCACTTTCAAAGTGTGTCCTCTTCTCGTCAGGAGCATTTGTATAATGCCTGCAGTGGGTTGTTGCAACATAAACGGTAGAAGATTTCAAAACAAAGGTCAATTTGACTTGAACGCCAGCTTGAAACCAAAAGAAAGCTACTGTCAATTTGAGGAAGGAAAAAGCGGTGGAACACGGTTGCATCAAGAAAGCCAAGGCAGAAGAGAATGTAGTCGATTGAAACAGCAGTATGGGGAAGGGGCGACCTCCTGAAGACAATGACTAATTTTACCCTACGTTGGTCTCGCTTGTCTTTTTCTCTTTTGACATCTGTGCACATTTATGAGCTTAAATTCAGTTAAAGTTGGGAGAAACATCTACCAAAACATGTTAGAGCGGTTGTCTCCAACCAAGTGAGGCGATGTCTGAGTAGTTTTTTGTCCTTTTTATTTTTCTGGGTTTTCCAAGCATTCCTCAATGAACATGCATCACCTTTCTGACGCGCTAAAACAACTTTTAAAAGAAATAATGACGAATCTCATGCATCCACGCCAGGCGCCAGCCCACACCCGGACAGGCAGGGGCGGGGGTGGACTCGCCATTAGTTCTTTCTCCAGCAAGCTCAGTTTGCTTTTTCAGTTTTCAGTCCCTTCCCAACCCCAAAGAAATGAAAGGATTCTTCAAAACTTAAAGCCTACGGGAAGGTCTGACGGTTCCGAGATGAACTATCAGCGTTCCGAGAGTCCCCGGGGGCATCCCTGGCGGGCGGTGCTCTGCGTCCGGAGGGGCCCGCCCCTTCCAGGGCCAGGGCTCGGCGAGCTCCGGCGTCTGGGTCGCCGTTGCGGGAGCAGGATTTCCGCGGTTGTGCAACCGCCCCTCGCGGAGCTCAGAGGCCGGGGCCCCGCATCCCTCCCCCTCCTGGCTCCTGGGCTCCGGCAGTCGAGCCATGGCCTGGGCGGCGGGGGGGAGCTGCCACCCGCACGGCCGGCTCTCGGCGCACACGCTCCTGTTCGACCTGCCGCCCGCGCTGCTGGGCGAGCTGTGCGCGGTCCTGGACAGCTGCGACGGCGCGCTGGGCTGGCGCGGCCTGGGTGAGTGCGCCCCGGGTGAGTGCGCCCCGGCGGCCCTGCCGCTCCACGCCCCGAGGCACGGCGCTGGGGAGACCTGGGGTCCGCGTGGCCGCGGGGTGTTCCCGCCCGGAACCTGCCTATTCCTGCCCATCCCGAGAAGGACGCAGTAGCCCCTGAGACGCGCGCAAGAGCTCCCCCTTCGCTTTCAGAGAAACTTTGGGTATCGCTTAAGATGAAGTAAACAGTCTTGAGTGGGTGGGGCGGGGAACAAATCCCTAGGGAAACCAGCTAAAGTTTATTAACTACTTCTGCTTTGCTTGCTTCGGAATGTTTTGTTCTTGTTTTTAAGATGTATTTATTCATGCATGCAAGAACTGGGGTACAGGCCAGAGATGCAGGGGGTGTGAGAGGATTCACCAGAGACAAAGTGGGGAACAGAACAGGTGGATCGGCTAAAACACACTGCTGAGGGGAACAGCAGGCGAGTAAGGAGAGGTCTGCCTCGCCATGTGGGTTGCTCCCTGGCTGGGGATTGAACTCGTACTGTAGAGGCTGCGGATTGCTTCATAGTGCAGTGCTTAACCCCTTGTGCCACCTGGGGGGCCCCGGAATGTTTTAAATAAGGATGCTGATGTGGTGTCTTCTTGTCATGGCAATATCACCCCCAGAATATAGTTTCATATTAGAACATCTTCATAATTTTGAAATATTGGTCCTGGTGTTTCCAGTGAACTCCCAAGTGCCCAACTCAATTAAATTTCAGTGAATGCTGAAGTGAAACTCCGTGTGTAATTAACATGACTCCCTGTTTTCTTAGCTAAATATATCTTGCTTGTTTATCCAGTTTGATGGAATGGAGGTTTGTGCTAGAGAATGACTTTTTATTTTAATCCTGAAAGTTGTGCAATCTCCGTTTTATGTAGACATTGACAATTTGAGCTGCTGCCACTTGGAAGTATTGAGTGGGATTGTCAGAAATAATTCGAGCAAAAGTCTTGTTTTGTTAAGCACAGCTGGTTTTGGTTAGATTTGAGACTCCATGATGTCACACTTAATGCCAGTTGAAAATAATCACAATTATGTGAAAACAACTTAGCCTTAATTCTTTCAAATAGCTTTCTTTCTTGTCAAGAATCTCAGAAGACAATGAGGAAAATATTTTATTTGCTGTTGATAAACAATATTGTCACACTTTCTGGAAGATGGCATTGGTTTGCTAGCCATATAAAAATTGTTTTAAAATTAAAAAAAAAATTTAGATATTATAAGTGCTGTGATTTTAAATTATTGTCCTTACATAAAAGTCTCCATAGACCTGACTCCGATTTCTGGAAAGCAGATTTCCAATAAGCATTTGAGGGTTAAGATCCTTCCCTCACCCGATCTTTTTGAAAATAATGGCAAGAGAAGTTTTGCATTTATGGTTTCCTAGTTTCTAAATTTGTGAGAGAAAAAATGTTTTTAGTGCAGGCCACTGAAAGGAATGGGGCCAGGCAGGTATCATAAATGAGTGAAGCAAGTTGTAGAGACTGAAAATGGAAGAAAGTGTGCCCATCTAAAAGGGGCAGATAGTACCTAGTCCCTGGTCACTTTTTGCAAATGTCAGCATTGCTGGGTATCCTCTCTTCTCTCTTTCTGTTAGTCCTGAAATCCTTATATTCATGCTTTACTGGGTTATCTCCTATAACTCTGCCAATTGCTTTATGAGGGAGGTGCTATTATTATCATCAACGATATTTTAATAGGTGAGGAAACTGTGGTGTAACTTGATTAAGTAACATACCTACATTGGCACAGGTGGGAGGTGGCAGAGCCAGGACTTGAACCATGACAGTCTGGATGCAGGGCCTGTGTCTATGCCCACAACCTCTCTTCACATCCCTCCATGTCTTCCTCCAGGTCACCAATACTGCTCTGCTCTTTCTGCTACATCCCACAGCCTCCCTGAAGCGCAGCCATTTCTGGCATGAAAGAACAATACAGGGAGCCATTCCAAACATGCAGCCCCATTTTCCTAGTTGTGGAAATAAATGAATGCCACCTAAATGAGAACAAGCAAAGACTACTTATTCAAAGCAAAGGAGTCAGTTACCATCACTTACATTTGACAGAGACTGAAAGGAAAGCAGAGAAATGGGAAAGCATAGTGGAAAAAAGAAAAACTTAAGGTATGTCCTGACTGGAGGCTGTTGGCCTGGAAAAGATGTAGACGGGCTGATTACAAGTGGCCATTCCATTTGATTGTTAGGGGTGCATATTTGATCTCTACAGTTGGACTTAAGTTGGAAGTGGGGTCAAAATATAGGAAGCTGACTTCTACTAATCAAGTTCTGGCTAAAGTCCATTGCTAGAGAGGTTATTGTGTGGTTTCTTGCACTAGTTGCTACAGATAGTAGTTTGACTTCCTGAACAGGTTGCTGTTCATAGTAGATTGGCTTCCTGGGTTCAGAGTTCAATTTTTATATATAGTGTTGTTGTAGTTCTTTTGTATATTCAATTCTGTCCTAGGGGAAGAATCTAAATGTTTACTCTGTGATATTCCAGTGATAATTATTTGTGAAGAGGGTTGTGCCTCCTGACTGTCTGGACCCAAAGCTCTGAAAAGGAGACCTGGAACAGACCAGCTGCTTCATGAATTGTTGGCTCAGCAGGAAGGGAAAATTGGCTCAGTTCAGGGTTGTTGAGGGCAACTGCCTCTGGTAAATATGCTGTGTTTCTCTATTTGTACAGTGAAAGGAGAAAGAGGGGGACAAAGAAGGACAACTGACCTTAGAGGAGGAAGAGGAGAGTGTTGGGGAACTAAGTCAAGGAGATAGTCCTTTTATTGCTCAGCTGAGAGTCCAAATGTACAGAAGGTCAAAATTCCATATAGAGAACTGTAATAGTAGTGGGTATGACTGTCTCAAGCTGATCATGATTCTTTGATGATGATGAATATGGGGCTGTGTTAACAAAAGCAGCTTTGACAAAGGCAGAACATACACATTTGCATGAGCTAAACCAGAGTATGCAGGATAAGATAGACCACCAGTTGTTCACAAACTGGAATTACCTGTGCAATATTTTAAAGCTACAAGTCCCCGGGGCTTCCCTGGTGGCGCAGGGGTTAAAGATCCAGCATTATCAAGCTGTCCCCAGCCAGGAAGCAACCCACATGGCACAGCAGACCTCTCATGACTCGCCCACTGCTTTCTTTGCAGTGTATTTCCATAGATCCACCTGTTTTGCACCCCACTCTGTCTCTGATGAATCCTTTCACCTCCCACGTCTGGCCTGTACCCCAGTTGTTGTATGCATAAATAAATAAATCTTTGAAAAAATAAAGCTACAAGTCCCCAGACCTCGCCCCTGGAGTTGCTTGTTGGAGACCCCTAAGGCATAAAGTGCTAAGACAAAAAAAATGTCAGGTTGTGACTAAAAGACTGCTCAACATAGGCAAAAAGACTGGCCCATGTCCAGACCACAGTGTCCTTTCTTGTGTCAACAAAGCTAAACCTAAAAACCAGACAAGATTAAAAAGGGAATAAAATATACCTGATAACACAAAACCTTGGTGGTAAATGTGTGCCTAGACAAGGCTAAATACTAAAAAAAATAATTCATTGTCTAGTGACTAACAAGGAGGGGAGGGGGGCAGTTTATAGCAATAAAAATGAGTTACATCAGGAACTTGGGGCGCTTGAGCTCAAAATAAAAAGCTTTGCATCCCCTGGGTCCCATTCCTCTTAAACTCTATTTTATGCCTGTCATTTCTTTGTTTCTCTGTTCTTTCAAATTCTTCTCCTCAACCCTGTTCACCAAAGCTGGTCTCCAGTTGCTGATTCAATAGGTCTGGGTTGAGGTTCTAGCATCTTCCTGGGGTTTTTTGGCCAAACCCTTTGGGTAAGTCTGATGTACAACCTGGTTTGGGAGCTATTACTTAAGCCAAATTCTGTCCTTTAATAGAATCTTTTTTTTTTAATAGTCCTTGTTTTGGGGGGCCTCTCTGTTGGTGCAGGAGTTAAAATGCAACCTATGAAGCAATCTGCAATCACTGCAGCACCAGTTCAATTCCCGGCTGGCCAGGGAGAAACCCACATAGTGGGACAGACCTCTCCTGTCTCCCACGCTACTCCCCTCAGCAGTGTGCTTCAGTTCGTCTGCCTGTTCTGCTCCCTACTCTGTCTCTGGTGGATCCTCTCACCCCCCTGCATATCTGGCCTGTACCCCAATTCTTGTATAAAAATAGGCAAATCTTAAAAAAAAATACTCCTTGTTTTTTTTTTTTCGTAGTGCATACTCAAATCTAAGGGTTCCATACTCTATATAGGATAGATATCTTTTTGTTTTTGTTTTTTTCCTTCCACCAAATCACCAGTGTCCTTACCCCATCTGCCTCCCTCCCGACAACATCCCTACCTTTCTCCTTGCTCCCCTTGGTAACCATTATCTTCTTTTTGCCATGTTCAAATTTTTCTTTAATAGCAATGCATAGTAATTTTACTACACTTTTCACTACTCCACTTAATTTTTTATCTTTAATCATATTACATTTATTAAGCTTCAAATCACTGTTTATCAAGTACTGTTATTAAAAATAGTGTAATCACAAAGTAATATATTCTCTGGTTGATGTTGATGGTTTTATGGCTTTATAATGAAAGTAGGATCCAAAATTGGAAAATATTATTTACCATATAGTATATTACGGACATGGTAATCTATATACAGAGCCTCTGATGACAACTCATTTCATCACATTACAGTGGCATGGTTTACATTATATGGTTGGGAACAGCTCACACTGTAAACCTCTCAACACAAAGGATACACTGAGAGACAAACCCTTTTTAAAGATACTGTGTAAATAGGTTGTATTCAATTTTCTTCCTCTCAAAAAAGAAAAAATGATCACAGAATTATTATTAATTACTTTAATATAAATTCAATAAAAATTGAAAGGAATATTAGTAACAGTAATATTTAATTTATGCCATTTAATGAGTGCTTATTAGTTACCAGACACTCTATGTTAAGCACTT